TATATATTATATCTATATATTATAGAGCATCTTATAATACTAGATAGCTGACTCTTTATATAAATCGTCTTCATTGTTATTATGTACAAAACAGGAGATCGATTGTGTATCATACAACTTAATGAAAATTATAGATATAAAATCTGTTAAATGTTATTGATTAATGAAATTAAAAATATAAATTTGTTTATTTTTGTAATTTTTATCAAGTTATATATTATATTACAAAATCGAATCTCTGTTTAATACTATACAGTTCATATATGAAAAGAGGTCTTATACCTAAGAAACTAATAGTATAGAAGCTAATATTGTATATGCCGTATTCCAATGCACATTACTGAAAATTTTGTATTGAAAATTTAATTGTAAGGTAATGTAAACTATAGATTTTTAATAATGACAGTCTATATCAAGACATGAGCATAAATATCTGAGTTTTTATCTCTATATTGATAGCTGCCGATACTGATAGCACAAGACTGTTAAATAAATTGATTAAAAAATTTGCGTTTTCCATTACTGCAAGAAAAATTTTTATTGTTTTTTAATTTTTTGGAATTTTTTGCCGCGCGTTTCCCCCTTTTTCCTTTTCTCCTCTCAATGATACAAAAATTCCTCGGAAATTGAAATTTTTCGCCAAAGTAGAAACACTGCATTGATAGTACAGCAAATTAATTAATTTTTAATAGCAAAATAAAACGATAATTATTAAGAGCTCAGGTTGATCGCTAGTATTGTTATTATTTATTTTTTCTTAACGTCCTCTTAACTCACTACATGTGAAACATTTTAAATATGGTTCTATATTTAATTAAAAGCATTTTTTTACGAAATTATTAGACTATCTCATGCAGTATACAAACAAAAATGTTTAGAAAGTAATCGAATAGTTAATTATTTTTAAAACCAAATTTTAAAAATCGAAGAAAATATTTATAAAATTTAATATCTTTTACAGATGATAGAAAATATTAGGGCAAAATAATATTTTCTTTTTAAAGGATAAAAAATAATGTTTTAATTACACAAACACACACACACGCGCGCGCGCCTAACAGCACATATAGGTTCTGAGAACACTTGGAGAATGACGTAAAGGTATATTATATTATCTATATTTTCTCTTTACATTATTTATGCTCTATGTTATACACGACATAGTCATATAAACTGAGTGTATCCAATTTTTTTTATTTTCTCAATACGTGTTGAGGAATATATTTTAACAAATAATAAGTATACCTGAAAAACACACATACATATACAGATAGACAGATTTATGCATATTATTATACGTATTTTTACTTATACTGAATGTAATTCAGGTGTACTGAAGGTAGATATATTCTCTCTTCAAACATGAGAAAAAATTCTAATATATAAATATTTTCAGTATAGGTTAATATAATGCTTATTTCAACTATGTACATTTTTATAGTATCTTTTGAACACACTATATTTCCACAACACATTTCCAAAATTTACATATGCTGCTTATATATTGTTAAAATATTATTATTAAACAAATTGTATTAAAAATAGATCTCAATTATAAATTTGAAATAATTATATTAATTTTTTTTTTCTTTTAAACTTTTAATAATCTGATTAACTTCTTTCTTTGACGAATTAAAAAAATAAGTACATTCTATTGCAATTAGAAATACAACTGGCATATTGTATTTCCTTTTTGTTTATTTCTTTATTTAACGGGATTGGAATTTTATTCAATATATTTGAATGCACTTAGAATAGGTCAAAAAGTCATAATTCATTATTTATCTTGTTCTATTTCGATGCGACTATACAGTAGCTAAGAAAAAAAGCTTTTAGTTCCACCGTATTAATTTCTCAGACTCTTCGCGTTCCGCGCTGCGACATCATTTGCAGTCACGTTTCCGCACAAATATTTTCGCGGATTAACTAAAGAAAACGTTTTCGCAATCTTGTAACGACTTCTCTGAATTAAATTTTGCAGCTAACAACTACAGCTACAATTTCAAATAAGAGTGATTTCCAAATAATTTTCGGAATTGCGCACGATCTTACTTCCGTCTGCTGTTTGTAATATAGTCGGAAGAAAAGTTTTTTAAATTCCTTCTAAGGATGGATTTATCTTGAAAATACACTTCTTGTGCACAACTTGTTACATCCGGTCATTTACAGTGAAGGTCATCGCTCATCCGGACAATTCCACCAGCTTCGAGGTGATTGAATCGCAGTTGGAAAATCCATTGATCGATGCCAAACATCGGGATCTATTCAACATGAAGCAGATCCCCATCCCGGTTGGTCATCATCATCGCACTCATCACAAGAGAAACCAGACAGATGATTTCGAACGTGAGTCTCTCATCAAAGTCATAATTTTATTATTAATTAAATTATATTATTTTTTTAACAAAAATATTCCTTATACGTGTTAAAAATAAATGTGTCTTCTTTACGTAAACAAGTCCTATTGATTTAATCTGTTTTATTTAAAAAAAAAAAATTGTTAAACAGTTTTGTCACCAATAAAATAAATATCATGATATTAAAAATGTGTCAATTATGTGTTTTTTAAATTGAATTTGGCAGACACAAATTATAAAAAATTATATAAGACAATAATGTTTTAATTATTTATGATATACACAAAGGGTGGTTCATTTTAACTAATCCCCAGTCTCTCTCTCTCTCTCTCTCTCTCTCTCTCTCTCTCTCTCTCTTTCTCTCTCTCTCTCTCTTTCAATTTTCTCCAAAATTATTAATGATAATATTTTTTCGTATAATCAATAATTTTCGAGAACATTGATAGGATTAACTAAAACGGACCATCCTGTATATTTATCAAATGTGCGTTAGAAATTATTTCGTTATGAATATTAGGATTGCTAGGAACTATTTCGTTTCGCTTATCATTGTCGTAAACAAATTTATGCGTGGAAGCAAAATTGTCAGCTACTGATTTCTTCAATCTAGCACAAATTGTAATCAACACGAGAGATAAGACTGCCAATGTGGTGATTCTTGTTGGATGCTGCTGGTTATATCAAAAACGTCGTGACATTGCTGGGGTACATCATGGAAAATTCCATTTGTTTTAATGCGTCGTACAAATTTATGTTTTCTCACAAACTGCCCGTGATAGCATCCTGTTGACAGATAGTCGTGTTTCGCGCGAAGAAAAATCAGAAAGAGGGATACATGAGACTGCTTTTATGCATGCAACTTTCGTCATACTCCGCGATGCAGTAATCGTCATCATGTTTCGACGAACAATTACAAAACGTTTTGTATATTTTTGTATTGCAAATAATCTCTTTTTCAACTTTACATGTAGTAACAAATTATTTTTATATGAAAAGGCAATATTAGGTCTTTTAATTAGATATTAAGATTATTTTGAAATTTATGTGACTTACGTATCAGAAAAGATCTTCAATACAAACTATGTCAACTTATTTTGTATAAGGACTTGCGATACTTTCCTTTTGGAGGTACAAGATTTTTTGTACTTATAATTTCAAACAAAGAATAATTGACAGGAACAAGCTATTCAACTGACAGAGTGAGATATAACTTTCGATACGATCAAAGTTCGATACAGATCAAGTTTCGACATAATCAAACAGATCATGCATTAGTGAATAGAGTTCTCACAATTCTTTCGAGATACTTTATATTCGACGGTGCTTATTTCCCTCTTGTAATTTACGAAAGGTTTATATTTCAACCTCGTATATCGCCAATTTTTGGTGATACAAAGTTAAAAGTAGGTACTGGAAAATAAGCGAATTTAAAATATAAAAAAATTATGTATATATGTAAATTTTTTTCATGAAAAAATGGGAAATCTAGAAATTGATTGTTATTCATACGAGAGGTAAATACAATATAATACAATAAACATTTTCAATGCAAATCTGTTTATACATATGTAAATTAAATATAAGATCCCTAACCTAGCTAATCTTTATTATGTGATTTAACTAACCTTGTTTTAGCTTAACTTCAATTAATACGAATATTAGAAGATTGAAATTAACGTGCAAATGTCAGTATTTTAGTTATATAATGTTCAAACATTCTTCCTTTTTTAGTTGAACTTCATTGATTATCAGTGCTAAATATGCCACTGGGTAATTAGTGACTATCCATTGATTCAGATTTAGAGAGATATTGCAGATAAGAGAAAAATATACAGGGACAGAATTTATAATATTACAAGCTAAAAACAATATGGATTTCTAAAAATTTTTATGGGAATATTTCGCTGAAAATATTAATTACATTGCGGTTTGGTAAATTTTCGCATATCCGAAATAATTTTTTCATATTTTGGAGGGGAAAAAAACCACGTCCGTTTCAATATATCAAATAGTGATAACCAATTACAATAAAAATGCTTCTCAGTAAACCAACTCGGTGTACAACGTGGTGAAATGAAATTCATTAGTTTCCGTGCAACAAATATATTTTTACATGCAAGTTTATTATACGCCAAATAAATAAATTGCATCAATTGGTATTGCGATATCCGCGAAACCGTTTTTTTTTTATTTTTACTTCTCTAATAGAAAATATTTTGTTTATTTTATTATCTGTTTATATATAACCACACTTACATAATCCAATAAAATTACAATTATACGGAATATTTTATAAAAAATTAACATAAAGATATTAGTAGTAAATATTTTTAATTATACTGCGATATAGTTGAAAAGGGAAAAATATATTTAATATAAGATATATTTTAAATGTTTCTACAAAACTTGTAAATATAAAAAATTTTTAAAGATATTTATATAAGAATAAAAATATATAATATCAATAATTAATAATTCGCGATTAGTCAAGATAAATGATAGAGCGAGCAAATATAATAGGAATTAATCTTCGGACTTTTGACGATCATGATTTTCCGTCGACGAGATGAAAGAGCGGACGATCGATCGCATCTCTCGCGTAATATCTTGCGAAGATATCACTTCAACGAATAAGATTTATCACAGCGAAAGTTTAATTTAATTTCAACTCTCTCTCCGGTTGCTCTCATTTCCTGCCTCTCCTCGTATCTCTCTTGCGCGTCTGCATATTATTTCTCGAGCCGCCGGATTTGGAACTTTAATCCGCTATCGTGCCCAAGATTCACCCAAGTTTTCGTCGTATTCGATATTACACGACGGTTTTACATCAATCGCTGTTTCTCGGATTTGAGAGAAACACACTTGGATGGGCAAATATGCTCACTCGATCTCTCGCGCGTCGTTGATGAGAAACAGACCCTACCAAAGGATCAATTTTGTTTTTACGTTATAATTTGAAAATGTTTATTTTTTTATTTTTTGTACAATAACTATTTCTTTACATATTAAGTAAAATAAAACTTTGAAACACAATTCTAATATGTAACATTATGAATTTATAACTGTTAGAACGGCAAAATATTTTGATACAATTTGTGATCTCTTTAGTTACAAATTTATATTTATTTTTTATTTATTTTCTTTTAAATTCAATGTAATAAAATATTGTATTGGCAATATGATAACTTTAATGCAATCTTTTTTATCATTTTCTCATGTTTCAAATGACATTATTAAAACTCTCTATGCCTTAAAATATATAAAAACTTATTTTATATTATTTGTTTGCTGTAATGACTTATTTAAAAAATGTAAAAACTTGTTTAAAAAATTAGAACTTTTGGAATACTGCAAATTGATAATATCTTTAACACGTTACGTTGTACATTGTAATTAGAATAGTGTGTATTTAATCCTGCCAATAATGATTTTGTTTCTATATCGTATTTATTTATTTGTACATCGTCGTGCTCAAGGGAATAACGAATGTGAAAAAAAAAGAGAAAATATCAAAAACTTGAATGGTTTGTATTCAGATTGACTCATCGAAATACTATCATAGAGCAATTAATATCGTGAAAAACGAGCGATTAAAATTTTATCCAACAAACTAGTTTAGTTAGTTTCTTGCTAATTAATTAACATCGTGATGTAATCTATGGTTTTGATATATGCATAATCATGGATGCATTTAAGAAAGGTCACAGAAAGATACTAATTACAAAATAATAATGAGAAGTAAAGCTAATGATTAATTTACTTTTTGTGTTATAGATAACTATTAATGAAAATAATGAC